TCTGTGCGGATACAGAGGTTGTAGCACTTGTAAACTGCTCTTTTTCATGCTCAGTATCATCTTCTTTTTCCTCATCATTATCAGTCACATCGCTGTACAAAAGTTTGTTTTACTGAAATACAACCGCTACCGCCCGCTTGTTGGCTCCAACGTGAATTTGAGACTTTTACTGAGTGACTGTTGTTGTGACCGCCGGTTGCCTATAATTGACTGCTGCTAACACTAAACGTGAAAAAACATTTCAGCTACAAACACTGGACTATTATATTCACACTTGTGGATTAATATTTCGATCACCGGAGATCTGGAATATCAGGAAGATAGAACTATTCTTGGTGTGGTTGTTCAACGGAATACGGAACTACGGAATCCCCCATTTTGAGTCAAGATTTACTTGGATTTTTCTCCTTGTGACTTTGTATCTGGCTTACATTAGTAATTTGCTCTGTTCACTAGAGACTCCATAGGGCCGTTAACCACTACAAGTTAAACAAATTTATCTAGCACGTTGATTGGCTCGCCTGGAGGCATGAGGTGTGGATTCGATTCCAGCCAATCTCGTACAAGCACCTCACACTTCTCAGGTGTGAGTGGATTTCAAATTGTGCGGCGAGGCTATCCATAAAAACGACCAACACCAGAAAATTAGAGATTGCAGTCTGTACGAATTTATCTCAACATAAATGTTTGGTCAATTCATCTTCGGCAAAAACAAAACAGCTAGTTTTCATGGATCTCCCTCTTCAATTAGCGTATGCTTTAGGGTTAGGTGCCTTTTCGTGCTTCAGGATCGATGGCTCCAATCGGATTTTTGTTGCTGATGGCAGGCAATTTAAATGTTCCCTTTAGGTTCACTGGGTCCTTTCAGCGATTGTGAGGAGGATCAGCTAAAAATGTTCTTTGACGTACCCACCTTACCAATCAATACAACAATTGAGAATGTGAAAAGACGTTCCGTTTTTTCTGCCCATTCTTTCAGAGACACTTGATTTCTTTTACCAGTTTGATCGGATCAGTTGGAAGGGGGCTAGTCTCCATTTCCTGGGCCTTTGAAGCCCACTAGAAATTTTTGTCAATTTATATGCACGTGATTATCCGATGTTTGAGAAATCTGCATGCGTCATCATCGTCGCTGGCCGCTGCTATAGTCTTCCTGGCAGCAATAAAACGTGCAGATTAGCTCGATATACTTTATCTACTGAAACTCGTCAAAAATAATGAACAAATCTCCCCATTGTCAGGCGTAATGCAAACGGAAAGAAAGCACTCGCACGATGGCGAGTTCAGCGTCAAATTGTCCATGCTTGAAGAAACGGAAATAAAAATTGGGGTTTTCCATTGGTATCAAATAACCACATGGTTCAACTGTCTCAACAACTGACTTGTAGTGGGTAGTCGTTTGTACCGTTCAGGACCAGACGATGATGTGCACACAATTGCATAACTCGCGCTGCGTCCTAGAAGCACACTTAAAATTTCTCTGAAACCGTGGTTCAAAAAAGAAAAACTGTAACGTGGTGTTTTAGCGTTTGATGGTTATTATCCAGGCCCTTAGGATCTTCCCACGCAGCCGCAGCTCTATCAGAAGTTGTTTAAACGAACTCGGGGTCCACTGTGTGCGCTGAGTTTGTATTTTAATTGGAAATTTTAAGGAAAAGCTCGTTTCTTCGTGTGTTCTCTTACGTACTGGATTTGGAAATAGTCTCAAAACGACGCAGATAATAATCACGCTTTTAACTTCGGCACAAACTCAAACTAGATACCACCTTCCTGACCTGGATATGGGTAGTTCTTCCATGGTTTTGGCAAGTGTGCAAATAGCCAGCGGCATAATTCGCTCTAAGCTATCCTTAAAATCAGCATTGAATCAAAATCTGAATCAAAGTCATTTGTGCCTCTTCCAAACCTGGTCGTTTAATTTGGGCTTTCGTGTCATCCGCCGTCACGATACAAATTCTTTCGCAACCAATGCATTCCTGACACATCTTGATAAAACCTTTTCCTCTCAGTTTCAGAACTGCAGCCTGTTGGAGCATATGCTAAGATAACAGATAAACACCATTTACCGTATTTATATGCGTTACTCTTATTTGAGCCAGACAACCGCACAGCCAAAAGGCGACTGTTCACTGGGATCCAGTCCAGTAAGGGGGCTTCATTCTTGAAACTCTCACACTGTAGATACCACGATCCATTGCGTCAGGATCACCGGATAGCCGAAGAGCGAAATTCGAAACATCTGTGCTCGTCGTAAGCGGCTTGAGGAGCACAACCGAAGTGGGGCTTTTTATACGTGTTTTGGGGGTACAACATATATCGACAGAGAAGAAAGCAAGGTCTCAGCAAGGGGTGCCTGTTTTTCAATTCGACACAGATTTTCCGCACAGCCAGCGACTGTTCACTGGGATCCAGTCCAGTAAGGGGGCTTCATTCTTGAAACTCTCACACTGTAGATACCACGATCCATTGCGTCAGGATCACCGGATAGCCGAAGAGCGAAATTCGAAACATCTGTGCTCGTCGTAAGCGGCTTGAGGAGCACAACCGAAGTGGGGCTTTTTATACGTGTTTTGGGGGTACAACATATATCGACAGAGAAGAAAGCAAGGTCTCGGCAAGGGGTGCCTGTTTTTCAATTCGACACAGATTTTCGGCATTTAATTCTGCAACGTGAATCAGATTTTTCGATCTAACAGTTGATCATTTTGGTTTATTTTTCTGGAAGAAGCTTTGGACTGTTGGATTTGCAGGTGAGTTGAATGTAGTGGTTTATATGACGTGCAAGGAGGCGGCATGAAGCAAGGCGAGTGAGCGAAGGGAAGATGTGGGATTTTGTTAACGGTACCTGTTTCTAGCCACTGACTCAACAGTCCAAACCGTGAAATAACTGTTTTGTTTTTTTTCTGGAAGAACCTTTCCAGAAGCAATGACTCAATAATCTGCCACACTTGGTTGTAGTAGTCTCGCTTAGTCCGACGGCGCGGGTAGTAAGACACTACTGGCTCACTCCTAGTGCAGCTGCGCACACCGGGCACCTGTTGAGCAGCACCAGACCCTTTGGTCTTAAAAGTATTTTGACCGTATTGAATAATGCGCTTAATGAAATGCGACTGTATCTCCACACCGGTCACTGAATTGAGCCTGAAAATGAAAACTTCCACAAGCCCTGTGAACCGGTAAAGTTCACCGTGACCAGGAAAATAATTTGCTGGACCTTTACGAAAACACAGTTATGTCTTTCATGTGTCTGTCAGTGAGTAGAAAGACAACGCATAAAGCCGCGGTGCATCCTGACTTCTGGTCAGAGAGTGCCGTTAAAACTATTCATTCTGTTGGTCTGCCAGTAGATATATTGCAGGTACTGGCACTCGACTGCGCGCATTAGATGTGCAAGCAAATTGGCGCTTTGATTATCTGGAACTCTGTTGACAAATGTACCCAAATAGGCATTTCTAAAATATTGCCGTATATTCAAGGGATCTTTCTCCGTCCGCGAGAAATAAATTCAGCCGGCCGCATAAGCGTCACTTTATTGGTGCTGCTTTCGAATGAAATTCAGCGTACATCTGCACTCCGCTTACATAGCCGCACGCCTTCAGACAGCTGGGACACATACTATGAGAATTCACAGTTATTTTTATTTTTTCCCGATGAAGATTTAGTGTTCTCTAGGGGTTTTACATCCTTCATCAGATGGACTCGTAATTTCATTCATTTAATAGGTTTTTAATGAAGGATTTATGGTAAAGTCAATTGACATTGGATGGTATAGTAAAAACCAATTATAACGGAAATTGTTTTTATTCTACAAGTCAGTGTGATTTTAGAGTGATCAGATTTCATAACATATCTGAACTAAAGAAGCTCTTTTCGGCACTGGACAAAATACCTGAATACTTATTTTCGCGCAACCGAATGTTCGGCCAATTGACTGAGTAGACTCTCCCGATATTTTATTATTCCAGACAGGCGAATTACTCAAACTTTTAGTTAATTAGTAAAATTTAACGTTTACTTACCATTTCGCTTGTCGCTGCAAGCAGATCCAGGGTATGTTCGAGAAATACGCTCATTTGAAAATCAATTTGGTTTTCACGGGAGACTCAATTGAATCTCTCGTTTATGATGTCCTCCAGCTGAATGTCCTGCACCTTGTGAGTAGTTTCCTTTATGAAAATATACTGCGATATCTCGAATGTAGTGCCAACTTAATCATGAGGCCGCCTGTGTGCAGCACATTCAACTGGAGGACATCATAAACGAGAGATTCATTTGAGTCTCTCGCGAAAACCAAACTGATTTGTGAATGAGTGTATTTCTCGAAAACAGTCCTATCTGCGTTCAAGCAGAACATAAGTTTGACGGAAACCCGGGGACTACGCCTACCTGATAAGCCCCAAGAAGGGAAAAGCCGGTCGTGAGCTGTCGAACAGTTTTCAGAAATCTTGTGAGTAGTTTCCTTCATCCATAGTGTGTATTTATGGCGCAGACCAGCTTCGGCTGTAAAACAATCGTCTTAGGTTGCTCGAAAACAGTTTGCGGTAGAGAATCTTTGTATCTAAGGTTGGTATTTTAAAGGCTAGTCGGGAGATAAAAAAGCGATAGGGAATAATAACTTTACCTAGCCTATGCTTTGGAAAATAATGCTGAAATTTCCGGCAAAGGTGGAACAACGACCGATTACGAATGCCCCATGTGTTTTACGGCCGATTATTCAGGCACTTTCAGTAGGGATTGTTGCAACTTCTTATATATTTAAAATTGCCTCCCATCTCGAATGACATAACTGCCTTCCCGGTTAACATTTCAAATAGACCGCCTTTTTGCAATGGTGTAGTTGAATTCTACTTCAGTTTCTCAAGCCATTTATATTTTCCGTTCTCCTTATCACTCAGATCGTTTCTACCTCTCCGGTTATACTATTTTTGTACCAAAATCTTGGCTAGCTATATACTTGTTTTCACACATGAGTTTGTGACCCGGTTTCCATCACGCGTTGTCTACTGCCTCATATCGGCTTTGCTTGACTTTTGGAGTACCTCACCGTTTGTCGAAAACCGTTGAGATTTGTAATTTTGTATTACGTGTAACCACTTTTCTTTTTCTAGTACAGCACATTTGCGTAGCCATTCGTTCGGAGCTTTACCGGTTTGGTGGCGAACTGCGGTGCTCGTTGCTCAAGAATTCGAAACGGTCATCTCTCAGTAAAGACGAATCTCACAGAACTATCAACCGAATTTGGACTCAGCGGAGAAATAATTACACGATGAGTGGAACTCCCTCTGGACAAGTCAACGCTCAAGGAGCCGGTCAATCATAAAATACGTGTTTTACTTCTTGTGATGCCAGAATGGATGTCACCAAGCCATGTCTAGGTTAAATTTAATCAAACAACTGCTCGTGGCCTGACAAATGGATGTGTGCTTTTTCCAGGAAAACTTGGGTTTGAGAATTTCTTGCTTCTGTGACGCGTGCGCGTAACATACATTGACATGATGAAATCTTCATTGGAAATCCAAAAGATCATTTGATTGATTGAAGGCGGGTTCTAGCTTCTGCAAAATGCATAGTCTGACCTAGATATTCAGCTGTGTTCCGATATGATATTTAGACTTCTCTGAGTGTTTTGTGGCTGCTGGCCTTGAACATTCGTTCTGCTGGTTTCTGAGAGCGATACAATGAGATCTAATGCTGAACTCCACCTAAGTTTGCTTCTCTTTGGGAAATTTCCTTGAGGACCCGAGTTTTAGTTGTCCGTAATTTGAAGCGGCCGGCTGCATGAGATATGTTTTGCCGGAAATCCACTCATGTTATGGTGAATGTGACTGTCCATACCTAAATGCATCTTCATAGCCAGGCACAGATAAAATTAGTCCGGTCCGTGTTTTTCGTTTACGCAAATTCTTTCAAACGTCAACGCTTATCATTTGATAAACTAGATCACCTTCCTGCCAAGACACGGGGGGCACAGGGAAGAAAAACACGCGTAACTTTGACCTTTTAACGTTGTTAACAATGAGCACGCAAGGAGATCATTTAGATTAGAATTTTATTTTTACCCAGTTGTTCTTCGCCCGTTCCACACGTTAGCAAGACAAAGTGCAGTCAAAAAGTCCGCTGTAATTTTTTTATGCCCATCTGATGATTGAGAGCTAAACATCTCTGAGGTCAACGTTTTCAGATGCATTTCATCCGGGCAAGTGCAATAAATTTTTGCGTCTAGTTAGTGTATAATTTTTTACTGTAATTGGATAATATGAATGTTTGAGGAGATTATTCACACTTGAACGAGTTCTAACAATGTGTTATCCAGTGCGTACCAGGGTGTACTAATTTAGTCAACTTTCGTGTTACTGTACTACACTCTATTATAACACGTTGCCTTTTTCGTCTATTTATGGATTGTCAGTAAATATCCTGGTTTGAATTTGCACGAAATGTAACTAAATGTGGTATGTTTGATGCTTAACATACTTTTGGAATGAATGAAACAAAGGAATGCTGGTGTTGACAACAGAAGCACGTCCGTCAGTTAGGTTTAAACAAACGATGGAGCAATTAGATCAAGCCACATTTGAGTCATGGTGAGGATATCAAAATAATACCGTTCTATATACTGTGATAGCCAAGGAAGAAGTAGACAGAATTTTTTCCAATAATGTGTACGCATAAGCGCGCAAAATTTACTTATTGATTACAAATAATTGAAAAATCCAACTTCGTGTAATTATACAGCAAGCGTCTCTACTCTCAAGTCACTATCATAAAAGATTTGACACACTTTTGAATGTGCGGTGCTTGTGGATTATTCAAATATTTTGATATATTGTCGTGCGCTTTTTGGTTGCCACAACATGCGCTTCATGATAATTTGTTTGACAGCTTGCAGTAGATAACTTTCCTGTCCACCGAAATCTGAGGAGGAGGGTAATTTGCGCCACAAACAAAGGTGCACATGTTGTTGAGGAAGCTCATAGTGTGGCATTTCCAAAGTTATTTGGACCGCAAACACACGATGTTGTGCACAAGGGATTCAAACAATGCGTCCTACTTAATGATTCATTTCCTGGCTGTATTATGAGTCAGTGTGCGTTTGCAACCCGGAGCAGCTTCCTTTCAAGCCGCAACCTAGGCGGTAAAGAATAACGCAATACCTGAAATCCTCACAGAATGCACTCCTTATGCCATTATTGTTAAATCGACACACATGCATACTATCAAACAAAAAATTTGACCTGTTGGCTGAAATGATAATGATCCCTGTAGGATAGGAAATAAACTTATTATTATTGCCACTGGATCACCGGCTTCGAGTTCTTTCCCGAAGAAATCCGAACGCCTGAAGTTTCACTGGCCGAGTTGGTGAATCACAGGCTACGTAATAATACACCCGCGTCTTTGTGCTCTGTGAGCAAGGTTTTTCAGTCGAAGCATCAACCTGAGGTACTTAGACCTCACATTTTTGGTTTGGGAAGTGCCATTACCTAACGCATTACCACAACGCAAATCCCACTACCTAATTTCAGTTCCAACAGTAGTTACCACCCATACCAACACGACCGATTTTTTGCATATCGGCAAAATTAGATAGCCTAAAGAAGAGTATCAAAGATGGTTTTTATCCGTCACAGCGCTTTTCGGAGGCAACGAACTGCCGATTCTGAAGATTTGCCTGTTGAAAACAAGTCACCTTAAAAGAATTTGTTCAGTATCTACCAGTGAGGAGCTAGAAGCCCGGGGCTCCATTTTGGGCCTCACTTTCGCACCCTTGCACATTTGTTAGATAAGTCTGCAAACAAAATAAACAGTATCAACGCGCTTGTTTCTAGAAAGGAGGAAGATCAGCGTTCTCAGCTAAATTCCTCGTGCAAAATACGGGACCGCGTGTCATCGGGTAGAGTTTGACCCGCATTCGTTACCACGGCGGCGCAAATATTGTGGGCGACCAGCTGGCTACCATTTCCACCCCCATTCTGAAGAACCGAAAGACCGTGGTCATCAGACATCCATCCTCTGATCGCATCTACAAGGGAGTTCCGGATATCTAAGGTCATGACGTTCCCAGTACAGCTTGTGGGCAACATAAATAACCAGGTCCTCACCCTGCGATAAAGAATAGTCAATTTGCGTTTCAAAAACCATTGATAACAGCATATCATCTATTTCCTATAAAACTGATCACGTGATTTGATAAAGCGAACGCCTTCTGAAGCGATTTGATTGACCAGATGCCATTTCTCAGTCAATTACTTAGTGCGCAGCGTAGCCTGGATAGTTGGTTCGGAACCCCCAACTTATAAACTATGAGACTGAGCGAATTCAATTTCTACCTAATGCGTATGTAGCCTGCTGGTCCCCACGACCTCCTTCTCAATCTGTTCTGATTTGGAGATGAAATGCTTAGTTGGGGCGCGTCTAATTTATCTGCTTTTATCTAAGTGAATGAGACCATCCAAACAAAGTGGGATGAGCTGATAGTTATGGATATTTTCAAAAAGTGTGCTTGCGAGGATTCCAGTATCTTTTTTGAGGTATCTTTAGGTATGAAGGCAATTTACCACCAGGCCCGAAAATTCGAGGGCCCGTGTATCTTGATGCCTAGCTGTTCCGTGAGGCGAATCGTCCCACTGCAGTTCTGCCTTCATTTAGGCTTCAATCACATAGCTAACTCTAATCACCAAACTCAAATTCTGCTTAGCCCAATAGCCGTACTACATAGGAAAATATTCACAAACTTAACTGATTCGCGGATTGCTACACAGGATTGAGGCTTTTTCTCATGTTCCCTGGGTTCGTTTTGTTCTTATATCTTTAACGGTTGCCTTTCGCCTAAAAACAACAAGCAAACAAAAGTCTTGCAGCAGCTTGCCTCCGCAGAAACTCGCATAAAAACGGCCTAGAAGTGCCGTGAACTGGGTACTAGATGGAGCGTGGGCAGCCGTCCGAGAAGGTTATTCCACGCAGCACGCCTTGTAAGACTTAATCGAATGCCCTTGAAAATGCGAAAAATATCGCACTCGATATGAGCCCTTCGTCTTTAGCCCAGATTACGCCGTCCATAAACCGGAGCATGTTCGTCAAGCATGAACGATTCGAGAGAATTCCGTGTCGAATTGGAGGTACCAATTCGTTGGTAGTAAGATAATCCAAAATGCCTTCCATCACCTTGCACTGCACGCAAGTAAGGCTAATAGGTCTGTAGCTGCCAAGCGATAGTCGGTCACCAGTTTTTTAGATCGGCGTCACAATGGCCTCCTTACAAGTAGAGGAAAGTTTTCCTCGAACAAGCGATTGACACACCGCGAGGTGGAAATGCTTTGACGGTATGAAAATCTGTAGCTGGCGATAGTCGGTCACCAGTTTTTTAGATCGGCGTCACAATGGCCTCCTTACAAGTAGAGGAAAGTTTTCCTCGAACAAGCGATTGACACACCGCGAGGTGGAAATGCTTTGACGGTATGAAAAGCGCTTTTTCATGATCCTTGAATGAACCTCTCCCGGCTCCATCGCACGGCACTGGTTTGTCCTATGTAAGAGTTGACGAATGTGAATTACAGGACATCCGTGTTTACCTCTTGACAAAATTGGATGTGATTAAGTCTCTGAAGAAGAATACAAGCCTGCAAGGTGGTCTCTGTAGACTCGAGATATCACTCTTAGGTCATTCGTGCGTTCACTGTACCTGCCCCTCAAGGAGAATGTGGTTGGCTTAGTAACAAATCTTCATTAGCGGCACAATTACGTTGTTCCAGGCAAGACCTAGTATTGTATGTTTTGTAAGTTTCATTGGCAATGTTTTGACTTAAAATGGTTCCGTATTTTACGAAATACTAGCTAATTTTTTGTGTCACTGTAGTAAACTCTCGGGGGTTATCGGGACCTCTTTTTCAGAAGTAACTAAATCATCTTAGGCAGCTCGTAGTCCATCAGATTGCGTGCAGATTTCTCCGGGATGAATATTGGATCAGTCTCTTGAACTTTTTGGGCAATGGTCCAGCACGACTGTTCCTCTGAAGGCGGTCCAAGTTTAAATTGATCAACAACGATGCGCTATCCTGAAAATACCGCACGGCGAAAGTTTCAAGTCCATGGTTTAGTTTCGGGATTCATCACTCAGCAGCAGTTGAAATCAAAGGTTAGCACGCAATGGTCACTGTCAAAGTGGAGCATCAATTAACATCCGGTCAAGGTGTTCTTCGTTGGTGATGGCGAAACCCTGGAGGACGGTAGTTGACCTGCACCGCATCTAGTGGGTGCAACATGTTGATTCTGTTGGATAACTTTGGTCGACGCCGCTGTCCACTGTTCACCAAACCCAACGCGCTGAAGCCCCATCTGGGATGCCTTCGTGCCGTTGAAATTGCCTATCAGCAAAAGATGTGTGGAGTGGGAGTTGCAAATTTCTATGAGAAATCGGTCATCCTTCAGATGATTCGAGGGCAACGAAAGTTGAGTACACAGCACATCGCGAAACAATGCAGGATGTTATCGGAGGAAATAATCTGGATGAGCAGGGCCGTGTACATACGTAAAGCAACGCACCAGCCCTCGTTTATTTTGAGCCAGCTCAAAAAGTAGAGCGGCCGTTTGTCCGGCTGTTCACGTCAGAGACAACTGATGTGAACCAGAATCATGTAGGTGCAAATGTGGATGGTTGTTAGATGCAAGCTGACTGCTTGATGTCACGAAGTTCGTTGAAAATACTGAGGCAGTTTGCGGATAGGTGTTACAATACTGTCTCCGCTGCCTCTGGAGATGCGGAGCCGAGAGATGTGCGGCAGGAGAGGTTAGATTTAGTGGTTCCACACCGGGTCTTTGTCCAGCGTTCCGAAATCGCCTCTGCAGCATACTTGTTTGCTTCTCGTCTTGGTGTTTTCGAGAGCTGTTTTGTATTTCAGGTTTCTTTTGCGTCGTGCGAGTCCGGTTTACGATAGACTATAACCTTTGTTGGAAGAACATGTTCCCCCAGTTTAGTGGCTTAACCACATATGCTGTCACTCAAATCATGTTGTAGGAAAATTACGATTGCTGATATTTGCAGCCCATTCATTACAGCGTTCTGGACGATTAGATTTGTTGTTATTCAATGATTTGGGGGGCAAATGCGTTTGGCTGGTTTCTTGACCATTTTGATGTGGTTTGATTAATAAGGTGTTTCTATGGGGCAGCACCAAGTATTATTCCTTTTGGTGATGCTCCCATGGGGCTAGTTTTTGCAGAGGACCGCACTCTGAGGCTAATCATCAGCTTTCTGACCTTCCGAAGTATATATGGTTTGTTTGCTTTCAGTCACTTTTCTTTATTGCTTGTGTAAACTCCTAAGTCGCGCGCGATCAGCTTGACCCACTGGGTGTACGCTGGATATTCCGATTCATTGTTTTTGTGTTTGCTGTCACGACTGGGCTATTTTGACCAAATGGAGCTGGGGACTAGCAGTTTCAAATTCTAAGTGGTTGTATTATTCCTGTAGCATTTCTTAATGCCGATGTCAACGCTTGCTGTTGATTCGTCATTAGTCTCTGCTGCTTGTATTCTCACACCTGACCTAATCCAGCTCAGAACTTGTGGCTTGGGTGTGGAGTTCACTGCTACACCTTTGCTGTCTCTTACGGAAAGAAGCGTTGATAGCTCCACGTACTTTGGGAGCTGCTTCTACTTGAGGCTTTCCTCTACACCTTTGCTCTTACGGAAAGAAGCGTTGATAGCTCCACGTACTTTGGGAGCTGCTTCTACTTGAGGCTTTCCTCCCCCGAGCATCGCTAGCTTTGGTGGTAGAGGGTTTTTGTGGTGGTTGAGTAGAAACGGTCGTCAAGAAACGCGGCCGGTTGCGTGAGTGTGATTTCCGGCACACAAGTGCCTATGACTACACTGGGTTTCGTCATAAGTTTGGGGTCGGCCGGACATGCACCAAGCGGAAGCCTTTTTAACACCTCTCCTTTGGGAATGCTGTGGCGTAGCTCTTGCGCCCCTAGGGGGCGATCCTCAGACAGACGCCTGAACGTTTGGTTGGCCTGGTGAATGCTGAAGGCTCGCTCTAAGTTCCTGTGTGCGGTAGATGGGAAGAAAACAGTGACTAGAGGTCCAAATGTTCGCTTGTTTCTTTTCTATCGTAACCAATATGCATGGAGTGATTCGTGGTAAGGCTTTGTAAGGACAATACCAAGGTGCCACTGCACCATCTTTGTTGGTTTGATTTTTCTGGAGAACGACCCTCAAACGATCATTCTGCTTTCTCTTACCCGCCCGTCTACTAGAGAGTCCACGGAGATCTTTACTGCCGCATCAGAGAGATGGATGATTTTCTTCATCGCCAGCGGACCCGGGAGGGGTTGCACAAACAACGCATTGAGGGAAAAGAGTAAATTATCGGCTCTTGTTCAGGCCGTTGTGTTCTTCGTGTTTGTGCCCTTGAGAGCTTGAGAGCTTTCAACCAAATCTGTTGTGGTCCATCGATAGCTGTAGAGGGCAGCCTGAATTGTTGTGGCTCATGATTGAGACTCGGTGCACCGCAGTGGTTGAGTGCAGGCTGAGAGATCTCTCCACGTAAAGGTTATGTTAGAATGATAAATTTTAAAAAATGACATTTCATAACTCTGTAGATAGGTTAACCAGTGAGTGGATTCTTTCATAAATTTATACTGCGAAATACGAAAATAATTTCGAGAGTATCACTGAAAACTCACACCCACCGCCAGTTTTGCCCTCATTGGGGTTGATCATGTAGGCGCTCTCCACAAGTTTCAATCAATCTAAAGCCCAAAATTCAATGATTTCGACAAATGCACCCATTTGCAAGTCAGTTTGGTCCCCCTGGGGAGACGACATCCCAGGGGGTGGAGTTCAAGCACCCCGAAACATGCTTCTTTATCATAGGATTGAAAGCCAAAAATGATTTTCAGAGATCCTTGGGTACGCTCAGTGAATGTTATGTTCTTCTTGTGTCCCGAGAAAAAATTCGTTTGATATACCCAAGAAGCGGACTGACGTAGGCCCGAATGACTTGAAGTCAAGTGGAAGGTTCATCGAATAATCTGAAGGACGATAAACGTCATTTGAGCGAGTTTTTCACGGTATTGAGTATATAGCCCTGAGGAGACTGATACGTTGATCCTTTCTATCGTTGTAATTTCATCTAGTCTACTCTGATCTGGCACGACAATGGCATTCACTGCGGTATATGTGAACGCTTTTCGTCATTCAGAGGATGTCGCCAGTCCAGTGATCACTGCTTTGCGGTGTCGTTATCCATTTAGAATCATTGGCTTTGGATCTTTTCTAACCTTTTCTAACTTCTTCAGAGCTGCTTCTGTAGTCCTTCTTTGAATTAGCTGAAGTTTTGCCACCAAAATCGACATCATGGCGCTGAGGTGTTGCTGCCAGATGCTACGGGGCAAAGCTCTTTAGCTTTGTCCGGTTGTTGCAGGGCAGCTTGAGACAGCCTTCAAAGTATCTGGCGGAAGATGGCTATAGACATATATGCACGGTGCTCATGGAAGTTTCTACGGGGTCCATTTGGAATATTGGAGGTAGCGAGGATACACTGGGGTCAAGCGCCGGATGATGATTGATCCACATTTTGGTCGGCTTTTCGTTCCGTCATCGACTCGCTTCAGGTGCCCGGCCGACGTGATGTTTTCAATTTCGAAAGATCGTTTGCATTGATGCTGCGTACAATATCAACCGAGCTGTTCCGGCTTGCTGAATGGACCCTGTATCGGTCTTTGGCTTCCTGATCCGCCCACCATACCATATCAAAAGACATGGGAGCTCTTGACAGCTTTTTATGAATACAAAGCAAAATTATTACAACCGTATATATAGGGCAATGACGGAATGTTCGGCAAGGTCTTGCTTGAATCTCCGTGATTTGGCGAGAAGCGTCGAGCTAAAGATGCGCGAGGAAGGATGCGACTGCCTGGAAGGAAGCGATTGTCACGCCAGTCAACAAAACTGGTGACCGACTGTCGCCTGGCAGCTACGGGCCTATAAGCCTTACTAGCGTGCATTGCAAGGCGATGGAACGCATACTGAAGCGAGCTATTCTAGATCATCTAACTTCCAGCAGCCTGATATCTCTGAACCGTTCCTCCACGACGAAAATGTTCGTGTTTATGGACAGCTTAACCCAAACCAACGTTGAAGGACCCATATCGGATGCCATATTTTTCGACTTCTCAAAAGCATTTGATAGGATTCCACATGTCCTGCTGCTCCACAAACTGGAGTCTTACGGGTTTGAATGCAAAATTCTTCACTGGATCAAGGCATTCATACCAGAAAGATCATTCCCAGTGAGAACAGGCTTGACCTACCCTTCTCCAGCACCGGTTTCCATAGGAGTTCCTCAAGACTTCCTACTGGGGCCGGTGCTGTTTCTGATCTACGTCAGCGGCCTTACAAGTCCATGTCTACTCATTGCGGACGACTTGAAATCCTGGAGTTCCAATGCCAGTGCCCTCCAAATGGATGTAGACGCTGCCAATCAGTGGTCGTTGGACTGGCACCTTCTTTTGAATAAAGAAAAGTGTGCCCATATGTCACTTGATCGAGACTCAGCGAGAGAATTTGACATGCACTGTGAGAAAGGACCAGAAAACACCATGAGGATAGACGCCCAAAAGCAGTTGGGTATCTGGGTCCCCTCATACTAGTCCTCATCACTGCACCATGAGAAATCGGCCTAAATGGCATTCACCGTTCTACGGATGATTCGGCGCATCTTTCTTCGTACTACCCGCCGGGACTTCCAAATACTCCATGAGGCCCACGTCGGAGCTCTCCCTGAATACGCCAACCAAGTTGTTTCCACAGGATGCACGAAGAACCTCACCATCATTGAGCGTGCCCAGCGAGCTGCTACGAAAATGATTGCCGGCCTCAAATCCGTGGACTACGAAACGCGTCTTGCGGTGCTTGACCTCTTTGTCCTGGAATATCGCCGCCTCCGAGGGGACCCACTTCGTACTGATGCTCTGTTTGAACAAAGCTTGGCCAACAGGTTTTCACCGCTGATCCAACAAACACACAGCGGGGACATGGGAAGAAGATTTTCAAGCTCCGAGCGCACACTTTCATTTGGCAAAATTGTTTATCATTTCGGGTAGTAGCTGCGTGGAATGACCTTCCCCCCACGGTCGTCTACGCTCCCTATAGAAGCCAGTTCAAAGCACCGATAGACATTTATTAATGCTAATTCTCCTGCTGGCAACATACTGCCCCGCGCTGAGAACATAAAGAGCGGCGCAACACCATTTTTCCACTTGTGCTTTTCAGGTGAACGGCAGCCGCTGAACGACAAGAACACAATCGACCCGGGAAACTTGGACAATAGCCTCGATCCTGTGTATCAATCCGTGAACCCGTGATCCAGATTGGCTGGCAATCTGACCAATTAGGGCATGCCCTCGTTTGGTCCGTAGCCTGCACATGACGCATCCGTCGGAATGGTGTGATGTTCAGCTATTGAGTAGGGCTGGCCTCCGGACAAGGGTATTCATTGACTTTGGGCGACCGGCACCAGAATCGTTTGACCTGTAATGTTCAAGAGTGCCTGGGGGGCACTTTGAGTAGCGTTTTTCAGCACACTTGCCTCAAACTTCTTGATATGGTGAGCTCGGGGTTCACTTACCGCAAGCATTTGCGTGACAACCGGAGTTACTGTACAACGCCTGTATGAGGAACGAAAAGTTGAGAATAACGCTCTCTGACACCAGTAACCCTTATAGTATCCGACGACCAACAGGATCACATGTGGCCATCCGACAAAGACCGAGCCATTGTTATTCGTTGGGAATACTGATTTCGTTCTAGGTACTGTGTCAGGGCGAAGATGTGATCAGTGCACCCAGCGCCTCAACGAAAGACAAACCAGTTCTCGTCGACCAGAACCGGTTAGCCTGTGCAGCATAATGCAAGGGTACATTTTCGACGATAAAACTGCGAGGCTGAGGCACAGTGGTTTTCATGTGCCCTCTTCTCCCTAGTGAATTAGGATTACCCTCAGTGCGCAGCGTCCACTCTGTACTCCGTTGTTTCATGCGGTTCGCAGTGGAAATCATCTACCCACGTTTCCGCCGCCTGCTTTGCAAAGTGTATCATCTTGAGAGACAGCAACACTAGCGTTGAGGTTGATGTTCCACTAACTTACAACCATAAAGCTTACTTAATTACGTCTGAAGCCTTGAAGTGAAAGGAGAAGGGCCGGGTGAGGAAGGAATTTGATACTGGCTTATTTCAAGCGCTCTGAGAAGCCTACACCTCCAAACACTAATTCTGATAATCTGTAATGAAGCTAGCTGTACGAACTCCATTGCGGTCGATGAGCCGCCAGTTTCTCCAGCGACACGAGCCAAGTGCAGAGCTCGGAGGTAACGGGGACCTCTCCGGGAAGGCGCGTTATCCCAAGAAACCATTCGTAATCTCTTGCTTCCCTCTGCCAAATCATACGTGCATCTCACTGCATGAGCCATCTTGCAGGAGACACGGAAAACAAAACATCTCGGGAGATGGTATTTCGACAAGCGTAAAACACGACCGAGCCGCATTAGTTCATCATGCTGAGTGGTTTCCGATGCACGACTGTACGCTCGTTTTCTAATTACTTGGTTTCGAATTCGTCGACACCATCTGATACTAAAGGCATTATTGGTCGAAAGTCTCAAATGCCCTAAACCATTTGACCCTCAGAGGCCGCTTCGTAGCTGTACAATAGCATAGCCCTCGTCGTAGTTCTGATACTTCCCGAATTACAAAGGGCATGTTTGGAGGTTGCGAGTTTTGCAGTACAAATTTGTACACCGTGGTTGTAAGTCAAGTGGCGAAGGATGGTATCACTGGTTAGTTTATCCAATGGCGCTTATGCTTTGTCTTTAAGTACTAGGGAGACATCTGCATGTTCCCGATAAGTAAGGTTCCCACCGGTAACGATGAAATATTGGGATTTTGAGTACCCTCCGGAATTCGCCCCATTATTCCGTGCATGACAAGACCGAACAAAACTTTGGAAAATGGGTATACTCCGACGATACTCAATCTAAAATAGCTTTCAGGGCAGTACATCCGTTGATGTTAGTATCTCGCTGAGGTTCACCTGCGTGCTGATTGCGACCAGCTTAACTTTGCTCCGATTTATTCGGCCCGCCACTTTATATGACAATTTGATGTGTAACACAGGAACCGCACTGGTGAGCTACTGTGATGTCCAGCTAAGTTCAGACGTGTGGCACACGAATGTGCACCACCTTGTCCAAAATTAAATGGAGCTCTGCAAACTTGAACTGTTTTTTAAGTTGCGAACGATGGAACTACTACCCGGGATGGAGGGTAATTGCTTTCGTCGGCATCGTTAAATCGAACATGTATTGGTTTGGTCTTAATAGAGCATGTTCTTTACTTCACAAGAATGGGAATCGGATGCCTGTCTTTGTGAATCTGGCCCTTCACTGCCAGTTATGGGTAGCTGTGGTATAGGGCATGTGAGGCAGACTCCTCATATCACGGCAAGTAGTCTCCGCAAAGTAAGGTAGTGATTATATTACAATTAAGTGTCTGTCACTGTGCATGATGCAAGTGGTGATGAGTATGTATATTACATTCCAGCTCTTACAGTTTTACCATGCCAAGTGACAGTGTGAACAAGTGTAGCGGCCCTGATGAAGGTGGTTTAACCTCATCCAGTAAAACTTCGTCGTCCCCCATCGTTACTGAAAATGTCTGTGGTGGTTTGTCTGCTCCGTCACAATCTCCAAAGACAACTGGAGCGGTGCATACAACCCGGGATTCCGAAAACAAGCTGGATGATGAATCCACTAGCAGTCTTAGTGACTTTTACCTTTCTGAATCACATCCTGGACAGTTGGATTTGAACGTTGATTCCAGCCGCACGTCGCCAAATTCTGGTCCAGTCATGTCTGAATACGTACAAAGAATTGCATCTGTGATCTATTCCGAATTTGAGGCCATGATAGAGGCCTATGGACTGCCGGTTGTGGAACGACTAATGCCGTTAGTCATCGGAGTTTTGGAAAACTTGGACGAATTGCACAAAGATCAGGCAGCGTATCATGCGGAGGTTGATCAGTTACGTGAACAATGTGACTTTCTCAAAGAAAAACTGGAACGTGAGACGCACAGACGAAAACAGTCTGAATTGGTATGCATTTGTACATGATCTTTGTGTTCATACTTCTTTTCGCTTGCGGTAAATTGCTTAAGACCTCCGTGCAACGTACATGGTGACCACGGCTGGTTGCATTGCCCCTTCATGTCCACAGTGTGTTGTCCCTGACACTTGCCTTTTTGTCCACCCTACGGACCTTGAGTTTGCATGCGTTGATGTTATTCTACGCCTTTATACCTGTATTCTCCTCCTTGAGGGTGCAGGTGCACCAGTTCATGCATTTTTCCTATTCTTTTGGTGTACGATTGACTCATAGAGCCACGTTGTTGAATGAAGGGTTTCAATCTTCTGGTCAGAGTAATCTTGAGGTTATACAGTGAGAAATTCCTAATAACTGGGTATATTGGTTTCGCATAAAGATCAGCATAAAAGCCTACAACATTTATCTTGGTCGTCTGGACTGTCCGTTCAGAGTCGTGTGAAGAGCAGTGTGCACTTGTGACTCCCCAGTGTAGATAATAGGGTTCATATTTTTTTTCGCATTCATTACGTCGGTCGCTGAAATGTGCTCCGCCTTTCGAATATATTGCGGGTCCCAACTGTTCAGTTGTCCCGATTCACATTAACGACCACCACCGCAGTGTAAACTCTTCCTTGACAGACAAACTGACATCACGTCGGCGCCATAGACATCGGAGGTTGACAAAAGCTGTCCTGGTTTTTCCGATTCTAGAAGTGATCTCATCTCCAAACAGCCCACCAGAACTTATACAGCTGCGCAGGTAAACAAATTTATCTGCCAAATCGATTGGCTCGCCCACAAGCGTGAGGCGTTGGTTTGATTCCACGAAGTCTTGTAGCAGCAGTTTACAGTTTGCAGGTGCGAAACGCATGTCAAACGGTGTGGCAGAGTTATTTAGGTTACTTAAAGTCGTTTGCATTTTTGGAAGGATCTGAACCAAGAAGAGCAATATCGTCTGCATGCTCAATGTCTCTGAGGGAACGTCCCGGGAGCATTTCGACTCCCAAGGTTTCAGAGGCAGGCAGACAAATTTCAAGCAACATATCAATAACAAAGTTGAAGAGGAAAGGAGAAAGAGGACAGCCTTATATTACACCAGTAGACCTGGCGATCTCAGGCGAGAGCTTCTCGCATACTCGTACGCGCCGACAGGAGTTCACACACAGTGCCCTCATGAGGAATAGAAATTTGGAACGGACACTTTTGATTGCCAGACTGCTAAAGTTGCTGACGAAATCCAGCGTGAGATTTCGATTATGAAGCGCGACAGGGCACCTGGCACGGATAGTTTACACCCCGCGCTCCTTCCCAAATGCAAACGATTTTAAGTGACCTAAATAACTGCCACACGGTTTGGCATGCGCTTCGCACCTGCAAACTGTAAAATGCTGCTACAAGACTTCGTGGAATCAAACCAACGCCTCACGCTTGTGGGCGAGCCAATCGATTTGGTAGATAAATTTGTTTACCTGCGCAGCTGTATAAGTTCTGGTGGGCTGTTTGGAGATGAGATCACTTCTAGAATCGGAAAAACCAGGACAGCTTTTGTCAACCTCCGATGTCTATGGCGCCGACGTGATGTCAGTTTGTCTGTCAAGGAAGAGTTTACACTGCGGTGGTGGTCGTTAATGTGAATCGGGACAACTGAACAGTTGGGACCCGCAATATATTCGAAAGGCGGAGCACATTTCAGCGACCGACGTAATGAATGCGAAAAAAAATATGAACCCTATTATCTACACTGGGGAGTCACAAGTGCACAAAGACGTGGCTCCCAAGCGCAGATGACATGAGGAAAATGTCAGTGTTTGATCATCGGTGTCTCAGCAGCATTGATCGGGTCTGGTGAGAGCGTCGGATTGGTAATGCTGAGGTACGTCAGATGGTCTTAGGAAGAAGGAACTCTCCCGCGATAGATGAATTACTCACGCTTCATAGGTTACGCTGGTAAGGACATGTACTCCGTATGCCAGAAGACCGCCTGCCTCACAGAGCTCCTTTCGCCTAGCCCTGTACTGTGTGGAAGCGACCGAGAGGTGGGCAGTGTATGACCTGGCAACGAAGTAAGAAGACAATAACCAGTAAACTTAGTCGGGCGGTCAACTGCCGCCTCCCTGGATAGGGACCCCAAGACTAAAATCACCAGTGGTTGATGACACTGGCGAAGATGGCCCAATCGCGCAGTCACTGGTACTCGTCCATCAAAACTACTGCCTTCAATGCGTAGCTACCCGATTTCCGAACAAACTGAACATGCCTTCGCCTCCAAGGCTTGGTTGTATGTCCCATACTCCCGTTTTCCGGTGGTCGAAGCCGTAGCAGCTGGAACCAGTGTGCCTATGGTACACGGTTTTTATCTGATAAATTAAGTTGATTCGATATTTTACGTAAGTTTACCCATCAATGGGAGAGTGAGATTCGTGAGGATCATACCGGGTTTACTCCTAGCTGGAATCGCCTGCACGATATCTTCACTTTGCGACCGGTGCTCCTTCCGATGACTACCAGTGGCAAACTCTCTAGATCTCGGGTCTCCCTTTGACTCCATTAGTGTAGCACTTTCTGGGCCCTTCTCCCAGCCTTGTGTTGGATGGAGGCAACCGCGTGGTGGTCAGTGCATGACCTGAAAACAAAGCATAAAAGCTCTTGCTGTTCCACTCAGTCGCGCTGGTAACTACCGTTTCCCCGGATAGCAACCCCGGCGCAAGACAAGTCAGTGTTTAGTGACCCTGATAGATTTTGCTGTACCACAGCCAACGACGTTCTTGAATCAAAGCTATCTCCCTCACTGCGTAGCTCACACTGCTTGCCATACCGGGCAAGCAGGACTATTCGACGTCAGTGCTTAGATTGGGTTATCGGATCGGACGCATGGATCTCATTCCGTTTTCCTCCTTCTCAGCGAACGAAGCTGTAGTATTCGGGATAACTGCACCTCGATGCACGGTTGGTGAGCTGAGAATCCGAAATGACTAAAGTGAACTGCGTTTGTACAGCGCTTGATCCACGGAGAGCAATGTCGTCGGAGTACTCGGTTTTCGTGAACGAATGACCCAGAACTATTTCGATCCCCCGGGTATTGGAAGCAGGTAAAAAACTAAAGGGCGCAACGACTATAAGTTACGGAAAAACGGTGACTGAGGGTATCCTAGGCTAACACCACTGGATATGGTGAGCTCAGGAGAGTTTGCCGTAGGAACGTACGCTTCCAGGGAAGCAAGTGTATAAAGTTTTACAAACGAGGGAAGTACATGATTCATCGCCAAATGCTGCTATAATTTTTGACGATCAACAGAGACAAGAACAGCTTTCAGGTCGAGAAAAGTAGCCATCGCTGGGGGTCAGAAGGAGTGACCCAGTTCCAACACTTGTCCAACACTTGTGAAGAAACGATCAATACAACTCAGGTCGGGGTAAAACCCAGCTTGATTCTCACCAACCCGACTCTCTCGATGGTAGATCAATTTGTGTAGGATAATATCGGAGCACTGTGGAAACTGTGGTCACTAGAATGGTGCCGAACGATGGTATCGTGCCAATTCGGATGTGGAAATCGTCGTTAGGGTTCTCCATTCTGTCTTCACACCAGATATTTCGGAGTACATTCTTCCGGTTATCAACGAGGGACTGGTCAACTTCGAAGAGTGCAGGACTCAGACCGTTTAGATCAGACGCTCTTTTGCAATGAAGCAGTAAAATTTCCCGCTGGGCATACGTTGTCGACATGTCTTTTGCATGTTCTAATGCAGGTCTGAAACTCTGAATACTTCTATAGACCACTAATCCTTTATTAGTCACCTGTTGGCCTCTTAAGAATCCTTATTTAATCACATAGAAGCTCTTCTACTAGGTATCTGACGGTAGCACCAGGGATTGGACCCTTTGTGGGTAAACGGCCAATCTTCGAGCTTTTGACCGAAGGGTTAGAGTCTGTCCACGGATGCCCCACCGTAGGTCTGACGACCTATCGACTCCCCGGTCATCGGTATCCCTCCAGGCTTCATTTCACCAAAACATCTGTTTTGTGTATTAGTGTATATAGTAAAGTGATTTGTTTCTGTTTGACAATAGGGGTATTTTCCCTGATATCTGCCTTCGATTTCTACTCTACTTTCCTCTACTTTCCACCCAAGCGTCTCTTACAAGCAGAGGATGCATTTGAGGAGGATAGAAAAGCAAAAGAGGAGAAACTAGAAGAACTGACAACTTCCTGTCGCCAAGCTGAACTTCGCTTTGAGAATACGAAGGACCAGTGTGAGTTCGGTTCGTTT